GTCTATCATGGCAAAACTATTGTTGCATCTCCTGATGGAAGCACTCTCCTCTTGGAGGCTGAGGTCACTAAACCAGCAGAAGACAGAGTTTCCAGGTAAGGAAGGAAAAATTCTGAGAGTAGGTGGTAATATAAAAAGAGCTACTCTTACTGCCATAACTAGATTCAAATTATCTCGGCTGTGAGAAAGACAGCAACATATAATGGTCTCTGACTCAAAACATATCATTTAAGACAGAATCTCATTTTTCAGGGTATTGTCTTCCAGCTAAGATCATAATTGAGTCTTCAGTAAGCCATTTCACCATTCAGTTATGCCAGCTGCTTCCAGGTGATGGTATATGTGGTAAGCCTTGTTAATTCTATTGGCATGGTCCATTGCTGCACTTCCTTTGCTGTGAAATGAGTTCCCTAATCAAACACAATGCTGAGTAGAACGCACTGATGGGAGATAGGGCATTTTGTGAGTTCACAGATAGTAGTTTTGGCAGAAGCATTATAAGCAGTAAAGGCAAATTCATTTCCAAAATATGTGATTATTCCAATTAAGATGAATCTTTGCTCCCTCTACGATGGAAGAAGTCCAATGTAATCAACCTGCCACCAGATGGCTGATTCATTACCCCTGGGAAGGGTGCCATATCAGGTACTCAGTGTTGTTCTCCGCTCTTGAAAGATTAACCAGTTGGCAGTGGTGCTGGCAAGGTAAACTTTGGATAGGGGAATTCCAAGTTGTTGGGCACATGCATAGTCTCCATCCCTACCACTATGGCCACTTTGTGCATAAGCCCACTGAGCAAGCACCTGCTGGCTGGGCAAATAGATGCTGACTGATATCCACAGAGTGTGCCATTTTGTCCACCTGATTATTAGGAGTCTCCTCAGCAACAGATACATTTAATGTAGCAGATACACTTCATAGTTTGTATACATTCAGTTAAGTCCTTGCAGATATCTGTTTCCCACACTTCCTTGTTGCCTATTTTTCAATGTCATTCTTTCCAAGTCACAGACTATCTATACAAATCATTAGCCAGGCCCATTCTGGTCATCTCTTGCTCCAGACATGCTGGGTAACAAATGTATTGTTTGAATTATGCCCACCTGGAGGAGTTTCCTTCACCACTGCCCTTCCGGGTGCCTAAGTAGGGCTGGGATAGCAACCTGTGCTGCAGAAGATGGATTCTAGAGAGGCCTTCCACGCTGCAGGAGCCTGTCAGGGAAGCATGCTAGAACCAGAAAGTAAACCCTTTCCTATTTCAATGCCTCTCTAGCATTCTCTGTGGACAGAACTTACCATTGTGGTAGGTAGACCTACCTACCACATAGAGAATGCTGAGAGAAGTAGTAGAAGACTATTTTAAGGGGTCAGATCCATCTATACAGAACAAGAATGAAAAGTGAATTTGGAACTGAGAGGCAATTAATAAATTACAGCACAGGCACTATAGAGCTTAGGTCAAAAAACTACTCTGTCAATCACCGTGGCTATTGCAGCTCCCATTTGGTCTCTCATTAGACTGGGGATAGGCAGAGAAGAAAAGTAGTTCTCCCAAAATAAGAGGGAGAAGCACTTTCCCCAAAAGAAGAGAGGCGTTCTGGGCTAACAAAACAAAAATGTTCCCTACACTTCACCCTTTGACTGCTCAGTGCATGCATGAACACACACACACACACACACACACACACACACACACACACCCTGGTTTCTCCATATCCAGTCCCTCGCTAGTGAGAGGAGAAAACTCAGTCACATCCCGATATTGAATCCAGCCTCAAATTCAGGATTTTTAAGTACTGTCAATCTTGATGAGGTCCAGATGTGGCTAAATAACGAATAATGAATTTTTCCCCAGAGCACAAATGTATGTTAAAGGTGTGGGGGGTGGGGGGCACTAGATAACAAAAACTAATGAGAAAACAGAAATAGGAAAAGCAACATACAATGGTTGTGAGCATATACCATATCCTGCTGGACAAAAGTAAGAAGAGTAAGAAGGACTTCACTTCTACAGCAAAGAATCAAGATCTCTGTCAGCCAAGCAAAGTGTCAAGATTTTCCTTGTCTCAAAGATCCTGCCTTAGAGGTGTAGTGAAAGGAATCCTGGCGGCCATTAGGTAGCCATCTTTCTACAAGGAATGGAGACTGGGACGTTGCCTTTAAGACAGCACAACAGTAAGTACGTTTTGCCAGGCTGAGGAGGAATTTCTGGCAATACCTTAGAACTTCACTTGGCTGCCAGTCAGTACCATTTGGGGAAATCCATTAGCTTGTTATCAGAAATCTCACTAAGACTTGAAGTTCAAATATAGACCCTGCCCTTCCTGTTTTAATCTCTTGAAAACTAGCCTGGCAGATCCATGAAATCTCCCTGGATAATGGCTTTTGTCATAGGCTCTCCAAGGGTGAGGAAGAGAACAGGCTGGGATTATGAAGCTAGGTTATCGTATTGGATGCCAGCCCTTAAGTTGTATACCACTCAACTGGCATAATGGGAGGAATTACCTTTTTCTATTGATAAGGAAGCATAGCAGAAGATATTTGGGAAGAATTCTGAGGAAAGAAGCATCCATGAATCCATTGCTAATTCCTACTTAGTGTATTAACTTATGGACGGCAAAAAATTTCGTTATTTCACTTGGCAGAGTAGATATTAAACCTCTAGCGAAAGAGCTCCTCAACAATGCTTTGTAAATTACATCTCACTATTGATGGTTTCTTTCAGAAAGGCCATGCTGAGTGAGTTTATCTCACGGCACTGAAGCAAAAAGTAGCCAACATATTTCAAGAGCCTGTTTGTTTGTTTTGTTTTGTTTTTGCCAATTTCCCTAAAGTTAGAGCCTTACTGGGCATAACAAATAATCCACCAGTGTCTTTCAAAGTGTCTAGGGTGAAGAATCAATTTTTGGATGATTTTTAATTATCAACCCATTGCAGACGAATATTTTCATAAATACAAAACTGCATGCTTAGATAGCCCTGTGATGTCAAATTATTAAAAGTTTCCAAATCCTCCTCTCAATTTCTATATCTATTTCATTGTTGACTAGTAGAGCTTGCAGACTGGCTTTGGTCTGTACATCACATTTTTAGTAGCACCGATAAAACCAATAAAACTTGCTACTTTCCAAGCCTGGGATGGATGACTCCTCACTGTCCCCACCTCCTTTACTAAGCCAATTCTACATTTTAGGGTTGTGATGGTTAATACTGAGTGTCAACTCGATTAGATTGAAGGATACAAAGTATTGATCCTGGGTATGTCTGTGAGGGTGTTGCCAAAGGAGATTAACATTTGAGTCAGTGGGATGGGAAAGGTAGACTCACCTTTAATTTGAGTGGGCACCATCTAATCAGCTGCCAGTATGGCCAGGATATAAAAAGCAGGCAGAAAAACCTGAAAAGGCTAGACTGTCTTATAGACTGCATCTCCCAGCCTACATCTTTCTCCCATGCTGGATGCTTCCTTGAATATCGAACTCCAGGTTCTTCAGCTTTGGGACTCAGACTGGCTTCCTTGCTCCTCAGCTTGCAGACAGCCTATTGTGGGACCTTGTGATCATGTGAGTTAACTACTACTTAATAAACTCCCATATATATATTTTATTAAGTAGTAGATATATACATATATAACAGGATATATCTATCTATCCTATTAGGATATCCTATATGTATCTATCCTAATAGGATAGATAGATATATCCTATTACTTCTGTCCCTCTAGAAAACCTTAACACAAGGGTCAGCAATCACAATTCCCTATTTCTAGGTAATCAATTTCTGTACTGATCAATAGTTTTGGATAAGAACATATACTGCATAGTCTAACTTTACAATGCATTGTCTCCTAGCTGGCACGGGAATAATGGGTCACATTATAAGAGTGGTGAAGCTGATGGCCTTTGGTTAGAAGAATGGTGTATGGGATAATGTGATAGGTCAATTATTATTATTTTGTATAAATTTAGAAGTACAAGTGCAGTTTTGATGCATGGATACATTGCATAGTGGTTGAAATCTGGGCTTTTAGTGTTAACCATCACCCGAATAGTATAATAGGTCTATAATTAATAGGGAATAGTGCTTGCAGCAAAACCAAACCCAATTCCGGAATGAGGAACTAGTGTAGGGAAGCAAACTATTGGCCGATCCATGACAAAAGGGACTCTAAAGTAATTGATATTCCTGCTTCTAGGTATTTGGCTGGTCCCCTTGAAAGAGAATGCCTCCTAACGACCTTAGAACTGGTCGCCATTGCTGTAACGTTGACTTTTCAGCAGTGGCAGTAGCCGCTGGAATACACTGTTTCCCCTGCCGTTTCCTTGGTAAATCATGTTACTTTCCAGCCTAAAACCCCACTTTCCCTAGCACTTGGAAGAAAGTCCAAACTCCTTCCACGGTCTACAAGGCACTGAAAGTTCAAGACCTTGATTTCCCTCCAATTTCAATGGCTGTCATTCTTCCGTTGCTCTGTTTCCTGATGCCCTAGCCACACTAATACCCCAGCACAGCAAGTACTCAGCATATCTTGTTCCCTCTGCCTGGAACACTTTATATACATCCTTCCCACTCCCATCCCTTTTAGAAATTGGCTGAGACGTTACCTCCTAAAAGTCCTCTCCCCACCACCACACAGCCATTACTTTCTAACCCAGCCTCTTGTTCACTTTTTTCATTAAACCTGACCCAACTATAATTACTATACCTTGAAAAAGTAGTACAGAAATGAGAACAAACTCCATCATTCTACAGAGCTTTCAAATGCTCAGATACGTTTCTGAACACTCAGAGGGGAAAGCAAAAAATCAAGAGGCATCCTTGGAGATCTTGTAAATAACAAAATACCCAAATGGTTGCCTACTGCCAAAACCCCAAGAATTCAGCCCACGTCTTCTCTTTTAAAAAGGCAATGGCATTTTCATTTTTTCATCTGATTCCCACCAATCAGAGGCCAGGTACCCATGAACCCCGCTCGGCATGGTCTTTTAATAATTAAATCAGGGCTGCCATTGACCTCAACTAACGCCAGAGGCTTCTGACTGCAGCCGAGCTCTGGTGGAGAGGCCGATGCCGGCCTGAGAGTGGGAAGCGTGGGGCTGCGAGCCAGGGGCTTCCGCGCGGCGTGGCGTGGCCCTCTCAGGGCCGTTACGCGATTTTCGCTCCCGCGGACAGCGCCTCTCAGACCACCCCCGAAGGACCCCGAGGACGCACTCGGGCCCCAGCGCGACGGTTCAAACGGGCCCGTGTGCGCCCCCGGGGTCCGCCGGCCCCTGCAGCGCTACCTGGGCGCAGAGCCGCGGAGGGTCTCCGTTCCTAGACGTCCTCCTACCCCGGGCGGCCTGAGTCCTTGCCAGCATCCGCCCTCTCCCACCTCCCATCCTTCCTGGAGCCGCCTCTCGGTTCCCGAGGGACAGTCCCGACCGCAAACCCACGTAGAGTAAGGAATGTGGAAGGAACAGGCGACAGAAGTGGCATACGCTCCTGCGTTATCCCTCCGTCTCGCCACACCTTGTGCCTCCATCTCTCCCCGTTTCCTTCCCTCTGTCTGTCATCTGTCATCCCCTGTCGCTCTAAGACCAGGATTCCAGTTCGCCTAGTGAGGAATCTCACTAGGGGAATTTATCGCAGCATCATAAATTAACGGGTTCATTTTGACTGAAAAAGCGAAGGAGTTTTTTCAGGCAGAAGACAAGTCTCGTCTGGTCGGTAAGGACTAGCTTTACCAATTATATAATGGGGGGTGGGGAGAACCTTTTGTATAAATTTAATGAGCTAATGAGAAAGTTCTACGGTTTTGACAAAAAAGTCCACCTAAATATTCGGTTGTATGCCAGAAATTACTACACATGTTTAGATATCAACTAAAAATATACAAGGGATTCATGGTGTTTTCAGAACCCTTTCAAGCCGTTCTTAAACAAAAAAGTCTAGTCCGATGCCCATTAGCACCGCCCCCATCCCACCTCTCACCCCACGCCGCGCCCAGCGGGGTGGGCAGGAGCGGCCTGATTTGGGGACCAGGAAGGAGGAAGGAAGGGTGGGGGCGGGGGACGGGGAAAGTGACGGGAGCAGTGAGAGCCGGAAATGAGTGGCTAGCGAGGCACCCAGGAGCGCCCTGTCCGGCGGCGCTCTAGCCCACGCGCGCTGTCTCTATGCTACCCAGCGTCTCGTCTATTTATTGTCGCGGGGAAGCGGCGGCCGCCTCGCACCCGGAACAACAAAGCAAGGAAGACGGAGTCCGAGCCTCGGGGGCTCCTAGCAACGGGTCGGGGCGGGAGTTCCATGGAGACTGGGGAGCGCGCCCGTCTCATCCTCATCCTTGTTCTCCAGCTTCTCCTTCGCATCCGACGCAACCGGCAGCAGCGCTGCCGCCGCGTCCTCAGCCACCGCTCCCTCTTCCCACGGTAACCCCCTAGGCGACCCTGGACTCGGGGAGCGCGGGCGGCTGAGCGGCCTGAGCACCGGGTGCGGGGCGTCTGGCGCGGGGTGGGCATGTGCGGAGCCCGGGCCAGACTTGGGGTGGGATGTGTTGGGGGCAGGCGACTGGAGGGCAGCCGCTGAGGTGGGGAAAACCGGTCCGGTGGCCGAGGGAGGGCTCAGTTCTGAAAAGGACCGGGCGATATTTGGCGATCTTGTTAGGGATAACGGATTGGGGGTGGGGCGTCCGTACCTGGGAGCGTTATCGAACCTAGTGTAGGATAAAAAAAGACGGGTTATCTTTCGTTTAAGCCACCACTGGGAAAGACAGGGAAGGGAGATTCCTCATCTGTCTCTGGAGCCATCACCCAGGGGAAGAGGGACCATGCAAAGATGCTAGGGGTCCGTTGCTTCTCAGAAAACTTCCAGCGGCCTCTCTAGTAGCTCCCCAAAAGCGGTTTCGTCGGTTTCTGGTTCTGGCAATGCCGGCAGCCCCGCTTTATTTTATTATTATTTTTGACCAAAATTAGGATTGATGGAGAAGGATCTAGAACTGAAGAACAGAAAATGAATTGTGGGTAGGGCTAAGCAGGGATGAGAGTCGGGATAAGTGATAAAAATAGCCAATAAAAGCCCTAAAAGTAAATCTAATAGGGCGTGAGGGCTTAAAAAGAAAATCTCTCCTGCCGAGATGTGCATCTGCAGGCTCTGTCAATGTGCTCACTGCAATAAGACTCAAACTGCAGTCAGTCCACATCTGTGAGCTCTCTGACTGCATCTGTCACCTGCAGTTCCAAAGCGACACTGGCAGTAAGTGCATGAGCTTCTGTATGTAGGGTTTAGAACAGTGCCTTAAAACTGTGACTCAAGAAAAGGGAGTAAGCTTGGTGGTTTGTGTGTGTGTGTGTAAGCAATGTGGATTCTCTGGGAAAATTTAAAAGGAGACATAAAAGAAGGTTCAGCCATCCTGGCATAATTTCGCAGTCTCTTTGAGAAAATGGCAGTTCATTCCAATTGAGAAGTGACTGTTAACACATCTGGCTGAAAGACTTATTCAGTTTGGTATGCCCAGTGAAATACCAGTTTATGTTATCTCTTTAGTCTTACATCACAAGCTGCTTAATGGTTTTATACTTTTCAGAATCAATTTAGGTGAGTAAATGATGTTTTCCTGTAGCACAATGAAAAGGCCACATATACATACAAAGTTCTTTATGTAAAGTTGAAGATTAAAGATGAAAATAAAATTGATAAATCATAGGAGCAATTAGGTCAGCCACAGCTTCTGTTTGTCCCCCACCCCTTTTGTTAAACCTGACTTCTTTTAAGCAAAAAGGTGTCATCCTTTCCCCAGCCTCCTCTTTGCATACCCTCTGCCCTCAAAATCAGTATCAGAAACTAGTGACCTACTGCTGTGTGCCCTTGATTGGGTTGACTTATTCCTGAATGAGGGCTAGCCAGAATATAGTTTTAACTCAGGCGTTTTCATCTAAGCTTTTAATATGGAATTGAGGTCCAGTGTCTGTTAAAGGAATTTCATTCATGTGTAAAGAATTGGACAGGATGGAAAGTGTGAACGCTGGGAAACTTAAGTTGCATTTTAAGACTCTAAGAAGAAAAAGATAGATTAATGAATCAAAGACTGTTGCTTAATCTTTGTAGCAGTTCTGTGAAAGATATGCTGAGATAACCATACTTGAGGCTGCGGATGTTGAGTCCTGGGATTATCTTTGTGCATATGAGATTTGACGAAGTGTCCCTCAACCTTAGGGCTGCCATCAGACTCACTTGACCTAGACCTTGTTTGCCGTTGTCTGTCTCTTCATTGTTTGAGTGAGGGTCAAGCCCTAGCTTCCACCTTTATGAGCAATCCAGTGTCTGCTTTCCTTGCCCTCCTACACCCCAATACTCCCAACTTTGGTGGTGGTTTAGTTACTCTCTTTTCTTAATCATGTCCCAATCAAAAATGATTTTTTATGCTGTATCATTTCTGTTTCTTACGGTATTTTCAACGTGTCTTTCGCCTGCATATGCGTTTCATTAATGTGATTTTATCTGTTGCATTTTCCTTCTGTACCCCTCCTCTTTATTTGGAAAATTGGAGTTGTCAGGTTGGATGTTCTGTATTCATTCTGAATAACTGTTGGTTGTGAATACAACAGGTTAAGAGCCTGTGCTGAAACTCAAGAGCTTATATTAAAATACGGTATATTAAAATTTTTGAACTTAGCAGAATGAAAGACGTTAGAAGTCCAAATGGTAATACTGTAATTGTAGACAGTCACTTTTAAAAAAAGTATTGCAGAGCCTGTTGTGTGTTTTAAATTGAACCTTAGATGTTCATGATTCTTATTCTAAAAAAATTATTCTTAAAATCAATCTTGACTGAAATTATATTCTGCCAAATTTGAGGGAACTACTTACACTGATTTCCCCAAGTTATTCTTAACATAGAAAATTGTCACATCAACATTGTTGTGGATGAACACATATAGAATGCAGAATTTGCTATGAAGTAGAACAAATACTTATGAAACGTATAGCTGAATGTATTTGGAGAGAGTTAGTTCTTCTCGTGGACGTGGCACATTATTTAAAAATCAGAAAATATTGTATAATCTAGTTGAGTGAACATGAGGACTGGTTTTAGATGAAGGGGACCAGTAATAACCTAGGTGATTGATTTCCTTGTGTTTCATCATAGACCATGTGATGAAATTATTGCTATAAAATACAGACATTGCAGCTGATTTTTAGAAGAATTTATAGTAGAATGTTTCCACATTGTCTCTGAGTTAAAATCTCTGGTGTTTTCAAATTTTAGCTGTATTGTGACATTCAAACTAATAAAGATATACTGAAACTTACATCCATTTTGTTGCACCTTCTGTATGCCTGGTGTCGTGTCAGGTGTGCAAAGCTGGATGAAAGAGGTATTTCCCTTCAGGTGCTTTTTGTGCACTTGCAGATAGCACAGAAATGTCCTATGTGTGTAACAAAACGTGACACACACAGATACGAATTTTAAATTATTACATACTGCCTGGTACTGTTGTTGTTGGTGAATGGACTTCATCATACCTGCTAAATTAGAAGTTTCTTGAGGATCAGGAGTATGAGTTGCCATCATATTGTATATTCCTGCCCTGTGTGTGTATTTTGAAGATTATGTTGTTAATAGAAGGAGATACATGTTTGTTTATTTCACTTCAAGAGCTTAGCTAGTGTATGAAGGGAACCTTTTTGAAATCTAATTCTTGATGCCTAAAATTCCAACTTTGTATTCTGGCTGTGGGCATGCAAATTATAAGCAATGACACTTTCTCAAGTATGATTAGAGCCTTCTTCTAACCAATTCAAACAATAAAGATAATGATGGACTCCCTTCACTTGAGTAGACACGATATTTGCTCTTGTCACGTGACTACCACTTTGGGAAATTTCAAAAGGATGAGAGACAGTATACATATCTAAGGTTTTCCCAGGCTATGTAGACAGATTTGATTTTTGTATTATTAACCAGTCAGTCTTTTCTTTAGAAGACAGATGGAGTTTGTGTGTTTGTATAGTTGCGAAAAAGCAAGATTCCGGCAGTATGTCTTTAGTGGAAAGGAATCAGGTCACATCAGAAATTCTACTCATCTGTGACTAAAGGGGGATAAAGTTGAGAATTTGGTTTAAATGGCTGGTTTTGTGGGTTGAAGCATGCTGCTATGGATCCCATTAAATGTTAAAAAAAAAAAAAATCCAATAGGGTGATTTCTGGGGCAGTTCAGATGTGCCTGTATGTGGGAGTCAATAATGAAACTGTTTAAAATTTCACCAAAAAGTACAGCACAGAAGATTGGCTGTTGGTTACTTTTACCATCCATTAATAAAAAAAATACTGAAAACCAGATTTTTGAACTGGTTTTAAGGACAGAGTTTTCTTAGGATATATGTGGATGACTTCAGCATTGAATTGTGCTTAGCACAAGATAGACATCTGTGTGTAGACATTGGCCCACGGTATGTTTTTGTTTTTTTAACTCACTAGATAGGACTTAAGTCTTAAAAGCAGTAAAAAAATTTGTTACTGTTAATAAAATGGTTCCAAAGAATCAGGTGTTAACATTCCCGCTCCTGATAAATTACAAGTATTTTCATTGTGAGACGAGTTTTGATGAGAATCACTTACTTTTCCTTGAGATTGGGGTTGGTACAACACTTAAAGAGTACGGACTCTGGGTGCAGGCTGCCTGTGTTCAGCATCATGGCTGTGCTTTTGATTAATGGCATGGCCTTAAATATTAAATAGCTTTCTCACTGCCCGGAGGCCCAGTTTCCTCTTCTGTACTAGGGGGTTAATACTACTACTACCTTACAGGGTTGCTGTGAGAATTAAGCATAAAGCACTTAGAACTTTAGTTAAAAGCTTAAAAAAGTGTTAGCAGGTGCTAGTAGCGGTGGCACTGGATAGTATATTAAAGGTGAACTGTAGGACCACTTGGATGCTTTGTTTCTTTGGTTGAGAGGCTTTCTACTAGAGCATTGAAATTCTTTTTATTTCTGATCACTGACTATTGGACTCATCTCTGCTGTTAGGCTTTAGGAGGGGGAAGTACTTTTTTAAGTTTTGAATTGTCACACAGGCATCTGGTTATCACCGATGGCAGATGGACTAAGTAAAGAGAGACATCTCTGTTTCTTGGAAAAGGAAGGCCAACAAAGCCTGGGCTGGCACCGTGTTGCAGCTATTGAAATACTGTTTCCCTGTGGACTTGACTTGTTTAGCTGTATGATACTTCTGAATAAAAGGAATAGACCCCAATGGTTTCATTTAACAGAATTAGGCTTTCTTTAGAAGGCACCATTTTTTACTTGTATAATCTTAGTTGATGGTAAATTTGAAACTTGTATCAGTGTAAAGCCATGTATTGTGAGCTTTCTGTGCCACTATAAATGTTCTAATAGTAGTTTTTTTTGTAATTTTAGTAGTAGCTAAAGTTGCTGCCCTGCTCCAGTAATTCAAGTGGCTCAAGAATGACTTCGTAGGTTTGCAAAATTATTTGTTTATGGTAAGGCTAAAAACAAATACTGAAGCTACCTAATCAGGAAAATAATTTGATAATTACAGTTTTGTTTGGGCTGCTGCTGAAATAGCTAACTTTAAAAAGTGAAGACCAAATGTTTTAGTTCAGTTGTGTGGACATTGGAAACTGCTGACTAAAAATAAATGTTTCTGCCTAAACAAAGTGAATTGCAGACTGATCTTTCCTATTCTGGCTAATATCCAGGTCTTGATTTTTAGTTGAAATCTATTTTTATAAAATACATACTATAGAGGTTTATATAAAATTTATTATTAAAAGCATATTTTGCTTTAAATGTACAGGGTAAAGTGTTATATTTCCTTCTTCCATGTTGTGCTGGTTTTATCTGTTTCAGCTGGTTTTTCTAAGCTTCCCCACACTAAGGAGATTGGCAAATATGCTTGTATTTAGAGGTGTGACTTTTGTTTTCCTGTTTAAGAGAGGAAATGATCATGAGTGTTGCACCAAATAGATAGAGATATATATTTCCTTTAGTTTTAGATACTCTGAGGACTGTGCTGGGAAATTTTTTTTTTGTTTGAGACAGACTCTCACTCTGTCACCCAGACTGGAGTGCAGTGGTGGTGTCTCAGCTCATTGCAACTTCCACTTCCCAGGTCCAAGTGATTCTTGTGCCTCAGCCACCCAAGTAGCTGGGATTACAGGCATGCGCCACCACGCCTCGCTAATTTTTATATTTTTAGTAGAGGTGGGGTTTCCCCATGTTGACCAGGCTGGCCTCGAACTTCTGGCCTCAGTGATCTGCCTGTCTTGGGCCTCCCAGAGTACTGGGATTATGGGCAATG